TCCTGACAAAATTGCTCTAGTTCTGACAAGTTTTGGGGGTATATTGGGGATAAATTACAATGAGCAAACCTGGTGATATATTTTTTAAATTCTTTCCTGAATTCAAGGCTCCTCAAGGACATTCACTTTCTTCTTGACAGATCACTTCAGTATAGATTTTGCTTTGAGATTCTATGTCTTTGTCCTGCTGAATGGTGATTTTTTTTGCCTGGGTTTAGGATCTTAGGAGATTTGTGTAAGTTTTCCACTGGGATTTGCCTATACTTTGCATCATCCATTTGTCTCTCAATACTGACAATTATCCTGGTCACTGCTGTGGAAAAGCATCTCTTAACATGCTGCCAACACAACGCTTGAGATTTGATGGTGTTGAGCATCACACTGCTGTATCACAGATTACTTTTATGTAAACCCCATTCAGAATAGGAGATGGGTTTGCCACTATGAAGTCCCTTTTTGTGCAGTGACCGGGATATAGTTGGCACGTGGCACACTCTTGGAGTGAGAGAAAAAGAAAACAGCTTCTCTTATAAAACAGCAATGCGTGTCTTTGGATAGCTCTGTGTGTGTGGATGCTGGCAGGCTGACCCAGCAGGAGTGCTGTATCAACAGCAGAGAAATCAACAGCAGCTACAGCCAGAGATGCCACTGGTTAGCTGGAGATTGGCATCTACTGAGGTACAAGGGAACCATTTAGTGGCTAAAGGACAGAATCACTATTTAATATTTTAAACATCACACAATCTGTGTGTGAACAATATAGGAGGAAGCATTCTGGAAGTGTTAAAAAAGGAGATTTTCAGTAATAATAATTTCTCAAAAAATAGTATTTACCACTTCTATCATGTGCTGAAACAGGTCTTTCAGCTGCTTGGTTTCCTTTTTCTGTTCATCTACCGCTCGGAGCTTTAAGGTTGCCGCAGTAAATCGCACCAATATCGGAACCGACTTGTCATTGACAACTCTTCTCTTAAAGCTAACCCACCTGAGAAAAAAATCACATTCATATTTTAATAAGTCAATATTATTATTCAACAAAGTTAGATGGAACAATAATTCTGGGAAACACCTTTAAATACTACTAACATTTTAGTGGTCAACAAACTCACTCTCAGGTGATGCACCCACTTACAGTATTGCTTTACCTGCTGTGTCCCTGCAACTAAGAAAGATCCTTCAGCAGAAGCGAATGAAAGGAATGAAAGGAAACAGTGGGCTGCAGTTCGGCCCACTGGTTAAACTGCTTCAGCCTTGGAGTTTACAACAAAGGGTTAACGTACGGTCAACCTGCTTCATCCTCTGAAGGGAAAACTTATACACTGAATGTTCAGACAGCTCTGGAAGTAAGGACAGAACTGTATGTCTTAATCATTTTAAACTACTGTATAATAAACTAGACAGGGAGATATTTTTTTTCTATTTCATCAGTTATTTGCAAGCAAGCCCAATCTTAATGTTTAAAAATAAAACTCCTAACAATGTCTGCATAGAGGCAAAAATAGAAAGCTTCTGTAAAGTACAGGAATTTATTTTCAAACAATATGATATGGCTGTTTGAATGTCTACAACCTTTACAGAACAGCAATGTGAAAAACGGCTATATTTCAGTCTGAACTTCACCAAGCAGCTGCTTAGTTGTAACAAAAGCACATTTTTCAATTAGTTTACTTCAAGTTACCAAGAATACAAACGGTGTCACTGACTGTGCCTTGTAGAGGAAATGAATACAATTCATGAAGTCTTCTGTGCTGGATTCTGCCTTGCACATTCTCACCATACTGAAAAAGGCTTGTGTCACAGTAGAAGTTTATGGCCTGTTAATCATCGATTGAGGAAGTTGTTTCCTAGTTGTGTGTGATCAGCACATCCTTTCCAAATGAAGAGTGTGTTCTCAGTACTAACATAGATAGTATAGAAGTTCCATTATCTAACCACCTGTTCCCACCTGCAGTTGAATAAATTCATCCAGTGCCTGCCTG